TGTAAATTTTGGTCAATGACATGAGACAAAGTATATGTGAACTGCTGTATGAAAAGTGAATTTACTCTGTAGATCTTCACCCAAATCCTAATAAAAAAATAAAAAAAGCAGTGGCAGGCCTGGACAACAGAGGGGCAGGACTTGGCCGCGCAGCTCCACCGCAGAGCCGTCATGCTTTGTTTGTGACGATGAGCATCAACCACTTCTGGTCTCAAGACTTCAATACCGACATTGATCATTTTGTTGGTTGCTTTTTTCAACCACATTTATGGCCTCTTCCCTACCAACATATAGCAAATCTCAACATAACGGTTAAAAAAAAAAAAAAAAAACCACCCCAAAGACAACCCTGATACTGGTTGCACTGTGGGGAGGTCTCCTGGGAAGACCGTTCCTCTGCAAGAGAGCTCACTGCAGGGTACGAAGGGGTATTATGGAAAGAGAACAGCTGAAAAGAGCCCCAGTACAAATAAGGCAGGGGCAGAAGTGGTCCCAGGACAGGCAGGGCTCCTGAGGGAAGGGCTTTCTAGAAGAGAGACTGTGCCACAGGCTCTGATTAGGTGAGAAGAAAGAACAGCCCCAATGGGAGAAACAGCAGGTATTGGGCAGGTCCTTGGCCTGGTACCCAGGAACAGTCAGGGCCCATCTGGGAGAGGCCATTCTAGGGCCCCCTCCACAATAATAATAGCAGCTGTCGAGTCAACTCAGACTCATGGCAAGCCCATATGTGCCAGAGTAGAACTATGCCCTACAGGGTTTTCAGCGTTTATCAGATCACCAGGCCTTACTTACGAGGTGGTACAGGGTGGACTTGAACCTTCAACCTTTCAGTTAGCAGCTAAGCACTTTACCAGTGCTTGAACAATTTCTCTCAGAAAGATCAGCACAAGGCCAATCCCCATGAGGCGGAGGTTAAAGATATCCTAAATGTCCAAACTACCATGCCACTCCATCATTTCAGACATTAACTCCTCCTCCTCCTCCTCCCAGTAATTTCTCCCATCTTAGGGTTCTGTATTTCGCTGTAACTCCTCACAGAACTCACAGACACCCAAGGGATCATCTCACATAGTAGTGGTGGAGGCTGGCAGGCTGGCGAGTCCCAGGTTCATGAGTGGGTCTGGAGGATCCTCCCAATTCTTGGGGTTTGATGAACCTCAATCAACAGATCAGATGACGGCTGCTGTCCCAAATCCAGGGATGAGATGAGGATGAGCCAAAACACAGAACCAGAGCAAGAGGAGGGCAAACCTTCCCAGGAGATTCGTAGGTATACCCTCAAGGAAGCTAAGGGTGGTGATTTGAATTATACCCTCCAGCAAGGCAGGACTCAAGATACATTCCACCTGTGTTGCTCCAACAGAAATAACCCAAGTGGATGGCTTTAACAATCAGCAGCTCAAGGCAAATCCCAGCACAGAGCTGATTGCCAGTCATTATAGGGAACGACTACTACCAGCTGCCCAGCCAAGTTGATGTTATGTTATGTTATGTGCCGTTGAGTCGGACCCGACTATCATAGTGACCCCTCCTTGGGTTTCCGAGGCAGTATCACTACGGAAGTAGATTGCCCCATCTTCCTTCCGAGGAGCCAGGTTGATACCTGACCTTAACTACCACACCACCCCAAACAGGCATGGATAATGGGATTTACAATACATCACAGAATGGAGGACAATGGCTAGAAGGGCCACATCAAGCAGTTCACTGCAACCAGTTTATACCACCCATGGACTCTAATAACAGCAACTGTTGTTGTGTCCTTGGGTGGATTCTAATGCACAGTAACCCCACATGACAGGGCAGAGCTGCCCCAAAGGGTTTTCTAGGCTGTAATCTTTACGGGAGCAGATCGCAAGGTCTTTTCTCCCACGGTTCACTGGGTGGGTTCAAACCACCTATCTTTCAGTTAACAGCTGAGTGCTTAACCATTGTGCCACCATGGCACCTTATAATGGCAATAACCAACATGTACTGATTGATCTCTCGCCCCGCATGGCTGAATCCAGAAACTGTTGCTAATTTGTCTGCTTTCTTGCAGCTAATGTGCAGGGACCAGGATTATTCTGCCCCACATTTCTCTGCCTCTCAACCACCCTGCTGCCTCCCATGGAGTCCCCAAGCCTTTTTAGGTCTGTGAAAGCTTTCTGATCTTATAGCTTTCTAAGTTCACGGCTTCTAGCTGTTTTCTTGGCAGGGATTCTGGAATCAGCTGTAAGTATCTGGGAATGACCTGAAGTGGATGGGCAGGGCGGACCTGGGATGTGGGTACGGGACTGCTGCAGGGTCTGCCTGGGTAGTTAGCCTGGAGCAGAGGCACAGATGGGAGGATGCCAAAAGAATGGCCTAAGGAGATAAGGATGAGCAGAGAGACTGGCTGTGAAAAAAGGAGATAGGACAATGGGATCAGAGAGGAGATTATGGGAAAGAGAGTGGGTCAAGTGAGGATGTCAGCTGTACCTTCAGGCATGTGTCATTCCTCATTCCACAGATCTGATGGGAAGAGTATCCTACAGGGCAAGGCATTTTATGTGGGGATTTCTTCTTAAAGAGCCTCACTAATTCTAAACTCTCTGTCAGGCAGGACTCATCTTCCCATAAGAATAAATACAAAGCAGAAGGAGCCCTGGTGGCACAATGGTTAAGCTCTTGTCTGCTAACTTAAAGGCTGGCGGTTCAAACCCACCCAGTGGCCCATGACTGCCTGGCACAGATAACCCATGATTGCTGCAGCAGGGCATTGTTACTTTTTTGCCTTCTCCTTGTGAGCTCTAGGATTCTATAAAAGGGGGATGCTCCCCAAATTAACAGCTCTGTCTAATCAAGTTGCTTGGTTTTGACCACGGCCTTAAATCATATGGACATTTCACACCAAAGTTACTGACTTGAGGCACGTTTTTCAGCCCTGGGGCTTACACAACCTCTTAATGAAGAAGTGGATGACCTGTCAGAGAACTTTTCATTGTTTAAATGATAACAACGGCAAATTTAAAAACAGCAACACATGAATCACCAAAATCCGGGGCACATCTTCCAAGGCATGTGAACCACGGGGCACCCTGCCGAACACTGACATAGAAAGTGGACGGTTCTGTATTTCTCTTCTCCAGCTCAAGTGGCACCACCATGTGGCAGCAGTGTTAAACACATGGTCACACTGCCTGCCAGGGGCAAAGCAGGGACCGGAACTCAAGTCTTACTCCAAAGGTGGCATCTTAATCACTGCACTCCAGCTCTCAAATCCTGCTGTCCCCAGGAGGTTTTTTAATAGGGGGAGGAAGAGCCCTGTTGTTACCAGGCTCTGAGTCAATTTTCAACCCACAGCCACCCCATGTGACAAGGCAGAACTGCCCCACCGACCCCTAGAGTTTTCTAGGCTGTAATCTTTACAAAAGCACATCGCCAGGTCTTCTTCCCTGATGGGCCACTGGGTGGGTGTGAACCATCAGCCTTTCAGTTAGCAGCCAAGTGCTTAACCACTGTGCCACCAGGGCTCCTTAAAGAAAGGCTGGAGGGAGTCTAAGTTATTTCAAATTTTGCTCACAGTTATTTTTATACAATCCTATTTCAAATTCAAATAATTAGAATCAACAAAAGATGCACCCTTACTAGCTTTGTGCCAGGCTAGAGACCTGGCCATGGGGCAGACAGACCTGTGCCCTCCCAAGAGATATATCTGTGTGATGGGCCTTCTCAATTGAAGAAGGAGGTACTATGACAGCCCTGGGGTGTAGCACTGCCTGGTTCTCCCCATTCTCTGGAAGATCACACCAAGAGGCAAGAACAGGTAAAACTTGCAGATATCCATCCCTCAGGAGCCCAGGGCACAGGGGACTTAACCCATTCCTGTAGAGTCAACTTCAATTCATTACCCTATAGGACAGAGAAGAACTGCACCAGAGGGTTTCCAAGGCTATAATCTTTGCAGAAGCAGACTGCTACATCATTCCCCTGTGGAGTGGCTGGTGGGTTCAAACCACCAACCTTTCAGTTCAAAACTGAGCATTTAACCACTGCACCACCAGGGCTCCTTAGAGGGGACTTGGTGGGACAGAATTCCTAGTGTTCTTAGCTTCCACTTTCATGTCCCACAATTCTAGGAAGCACAATGATTCCCTCCCCTTCCCTGCTTTTTTGTTTTTAAAAGAAAATCAGGTAATGTGAAGTACAAGTTAGGTAAAATCAGAACATATGGCAAAACTACAAAAAATCCTTAAAAATCCTTCAAATCATTAGGAGCTGGGCCAATAAATCAAAGGCCAATAATTAAATTCTTTTCTGGTTCTCTTTGTAGTTCAGCTAGGGCCTCCCTTTTCCTGAGATGGTGTGAAAAGGGTCTAGTTTGACTGGGGAAATGATGATAAGGAAAATTAAAATATTTTTTTCTCCCTCCTCCGCTTTGTTTGGCCAAGTCTCTAGAGCTGAATTTGTCTAAGTTAAATGAGCCCATGATGCTACTGCCCCTTGAAACAAAAGACTAAAACCAAAAACAAACCAGCTGCTGTCTAGCCAGTTCTGACTCATGGCGACCCCTCGTGTGTCAGAGCAGAACTGTACCCACAGGGCTTACTGTGGCTGGTTTTTCAGAAGTAGATTGCCAGCCCTTTCTTCTTAGGTGCCTCTGGATGGACTTAAATGGCCAACCTTTCAGTAAGCAGTAAGCACATTAACTGCTCACACCACCCAGGGTCTCAGAAGACAACCAATGTCTGAGGAGTGGACAAAGCTACTCTAGCCAGATGGAGGTACAGCCATTCAGCCAACCATGACCACACGTGGGACCCTCTGACTGCCCAGAGACCTAACCCACTGAATATCGCTAGGGGCTAGATAAGGGGAAGGAAGCAGGTGGTGGTTCCTTCCCCACTGGATTCACCCACAGGGAGGCAGAGGAGCTGCTTACCCCCACCACAGGCCTGGATGAAAAAGAGCTTGGGCTTCCCTCCTAAGCTGGGGCATCCAGTTCCACTGAAGATGTTCACGATTCTCTCAATGGACACAGAGCATCCATCCGTGCCATAGACAGCCCCCGGGAACTGGCGATGACTGGCCTAGAAGAACAAGAATCCTGGTTACAAAACCAAGAAGTTGAGCAGGAATCCAATAGCCTTCTGGGGCTTTATGGAGCCAAGCATTAGGAAGGTCCCAGCTGGAGATAAGAGGTTGATTCTGGAAAGGCCCTGGTCAGCATCTATTCCGAGAGTCTTAAACTCATGTGCCTATGGGGGCCTTTCAGACACAAGATAAGAAGGGCCTGACAGTGAGACAAGGAGGATCGGCTGGAGTACTGAATTGGAGAGTGCCAGCCAGCTTCCTCTAGTTCAGTGGTTTTCAAAGTGGGTCCCTGGAGCAGCAGCAGCAGCAGCATCTAGGAACTTGTAAGAAATGCTAATACTCAGGCCCACCCCGACATCCTGAATCAGAAACTCTGGCAGTGGGCCTAGCAACATGCTTCAACAAGTCCTCCAGGTGCCTCACATGCAGCTAGGCTTTGAGAACCATTGTTTTGGTCAATTCTTCTTAAACTTCAATGTCCATGAAAATCACCTGGGGATCTTGTTAAGCTACAGATTCTGAGTCAGCAAGTCCAGAAGAGGGCCTGGTAGTCTGCATTTTTCACAAGCTCCCAGGTGATACCCATGCTGCCAGTCCAGAGGCCTCACTGTGAGACAAAGGACCAAGGGGGAAGCCACACTCATCCATACGCCAGAGTCATGCTCTGTGAGGATACCAGCCCTTTGTGTTTTTTCAAGAGAGGACAGAAATCCTGATTTTTGTGTGAAATTGTGAAACTGTTCTGAAAACACTACATAGCAGAGGGGGATTACAGGCCCCAATTTGTGACTTCTCATCTATCCCACGCCCTCAATTTGAAAGATGAGGAAACTGAGACCCAGAAAAGGACAGGGGCTTGGCCACAATGACTCAGCACACTGGTGGCCAAGTCCAGAGAGGGCCCAGGGTCCTGACTGCCACCTAGCAGCAAAGGGCTAGAACAATGATCCGAGGATGAGGACAGGAGCCAAGAACTGTCTGAGCCAAACCAGCGACAGGCACCTTGTGAGCAGAGCTTGTCCCTTCACTCCCCTCTCCCAGATGGCTTCTCCCACCCAACCCACGCAGGTGCATCCAACTCCACCTAGGAGGACCAGATGGCTCCGGGACAAACAACAAGGGAACAGACAGGGCCCCTTGCTCTTTCCCACAAACCCAAGGGTATTTTGGACACAGGAAGGGGTGGGGACCCTGCACAACTGCTCAGTTCTTTTACCTTGTGTCTGCCTTAGCGGCTGAGGCTAAGTCAGGGAAGCCTCCTACCTGACAGCCATGGGAGAGGATGACCACCACACAGCAGTCCAGAGTACCATGGTCCCGCCGTGCCAGCCCCACCAAAACCTGGAGCATATCCTATCAGAGAAGGGTGCAGTCAAGCCAGAAGGCCATTCTTGGCTCTTTTGGGCAATAAGAGGGTCTGCCTGAAGGCCTGGGAAGAGCGCTTTTCTACTCCCAAGGACCACATGCTGGAGTAATGACAGTCACGATTGTCAAAATGGTACCATTCTTGGGGAAAAATGTACTGGGGTGCTAGTTCCTTTAACCCTCACAACAACCCTATGAGGTATTATTATTAACCCCTGTTGTTGTTGTTGTTATGTGCCGTCGAGTCGGCCCCGACTCATAGCGACCCCTCCTTGGGTTTTCGAGGCAGTATCACTACGGAAGTAGGATTGCCCAACCTTCCTTCTGAGGAGTGGCTGGTGGGTTTGAACCGCCAGCCGTCTGGTTAGCAGGCAAGTGACTTAGCCACTATGCTACCAGAGCTCCTAACCCCTAGACAAGAAAATTCAGGCACAAGGAGGACACCCAACAAATAACTGAGAGAGCCAGTCCTGTCTGAGGTCTATCTTAGTCTGAAGTTCGAATTTGTAACTACTGAACCATACCGCCTCCCACAGTCCTACAGGCATAAGGGTTTGTCTTGGACACCAGCTTGCCTTTAGGATCCCTCAAGAACACTATCCCATCCAGCCCCTCACCCCTCTCCACGGGCAGTGACCATACCTTAGCAGTCAGGTCACACTTCACCTCCACCACAAAATGCAGTAAGCGGAAGCGTCGTTGCAACTTCTCACAGTCGATGTTGGAGCCAGTGCGAGAGCTGAGCGCTGACTTGAAGCAGAAGTTCACATTGTTGATAATGAGGCAGTGGCCACAAGGGTCAGCGTCCAGGACGTATGCCTGCCCAAGCACAGTGACCAGTGTGAATGCAGGATCTCACCGCACTCCTCCAATGAGAAGGTAGCCCCACGGTTTTTATGCATGCAGTTGACAGTCTGCAGAAGTAGAAAAAAAATGGTGCCCACCTCCCACTGTGGAAGTAGCAGGGTCTGCACCCAGCATTCCACGGCAGAAGGGAAGAGAGTGCAGAGCAGACTGGTGTAAGCACCATCTGTGTGTTATGGACTGAATTGTGTCCCCAACAAATATGTATTGGGATCCTAGGCCCTACACCTGTGGATGTCATTCCTGTTTAGAAATTGTTCTTTGTTATCTTAATGAGGCCGAATCAGTGCAGGATGTGTAACTTCTGAGTTACAGTAAAACCTCCAAAAGTTGGAGCCTGTGTGAGGTGGAAATTTGTCAGAGAAGGAAAGATCACTGGGTGTTTATGATGCAAGATTCTTAATAGAAGGTGACACAGAAGCGGTTAGCACCCTGTCAAAGGCAGAAAACTTGCAAGACTTGGAAAAACAAGGCAGTCCCGCTGTGTTCTGGCTCTCACAGGTTTCAGTGCATAAGGAGCAGCATCAACACAGACACAAACGGGGACAGGCGTGGGGAGCAGACCCAACATGAAGATCCCCAAGGAACCAAAGAATGCTGGGGCTACGAAAACTGAAAGGGGCAGGATCTGCTCCTTGGAGAAAGCCTTCCCCTGTAGCAACAACCTGAATTTGGACTTCTAGCCTCCGGTACCACAAGAAAATAAGTGTCTGTTCTTTAAAGCTATCCCCTTGTGGTATTTCTTTTACAACAGCACTGGCAAACTAACACAGGGTATGATTTGCAAATAGCTAAACATCAAAGTTTAGCTTCCCTCTCAGTATTCTGTGTGGGAGCTGCTAGCTTAGAAATCTGACCCGCAAAACATTCACCCCAAAAAACCCTCACAGACCATCCAGTCCAGAAGTCCTTAACTAGGGGTGTGCTTGAGAATGACGTCAACAGACTCATGCCCAGGCCAACTCTCAGGACATCAGAGGCAGCTCCCTCCCCATCAGTCTTCCTCTCTGAGCATAGTATTTGTTGTTAGTTAAATCAAGTAGACTCCGACTCACGGCGACCTTATGTACAACAGAATGAAACACTGCCCAGTCCTGTGTCATGTTCATGATCTACGCTATGTTTAAGTCCATTGTTGTGGCTACTGTGTCAGTTCACCTCATTGAAGTCTTCCCTCATTTTAGCTGACCTTCCTGATGACATGTCCAAAGTAAGTAAAAAGAAGTCTGGTGATCCTTGCTTCTAAGCAGCATTCTGGTTTTATTTCTTCTTAGACTGATTTGTTTGTTCTTTTGGCATTCTATGGTGTATTCAATATTCTTGGCCAATACTGTAGTTCAAACACATCAATTCTTCTGTCTTCCTTCTTCTCTTATCACTACTCATATTTATACATGTATTTGCGTGTCCATTTGCTTAACTTCTCTCTCCTGTGCTCTACTGGTAGCTCCACAAGGGTTTGAAACATGTGGTCTGTTCCCTAGTTATCCCAGCACAGAGCCCAGGGCTGGCACACAGGAGTCACCCAGTAACTATTTGTGAAAGAAAGTGAGGGACTCAGTCCGGGGACGACACCACACTGGATTCTGAAACCTACTCCTAGTGAAGTCTGACCCCTTAACTTTATAGATGAGGAAAGAACAGAGTAGACAATCTACTGCAGCAAGTGCTATAATAGGCCAGGACCAATGGGAGGGCTAGAATGGAACCCGACTCTCCACCTGGGCTGGGTTCCCTGAGTCCCAGCACTCTTGATACACCTGCATGGAAGGACCTAGGGAATGGAGAGTGCAAGAGCCCAAAGCCAGAGCAACTGGCCCAAAGTCACAAGAAGACTCACCAAATCAGTGTTTCTTCCCAATCTCGGAGCACCTGGAGAGACAGAGAGAATGAAATTATAAATGCCAGGATCCAGTGGCGGAGGGGAGGAGGGACACTGTGAGGAAAATTCTGACAAAAAAAGAAGAGGTGCAGGCACGCAGGAACCCTCTAGGGGGTGAGTCAAGTGATCCAGCTACCCTGGAAAAGTGTTTAGTAGTTTCTAATAAAGTTAAGAGGGCAGTAGTAGTCCAGTGGTAGAATTCTCACCTTCCATGTGGGAGACATGCGTTGGATTCCTGCCCAATACACTTCATGCACAGCCACTACCCATCTGTCAGTGGAAGACTGCGTGTGACTATGATCTGAACAGGTGTCAGGGGAGCTTCCAGACTAAGACATACTAGGAAGAAAGGACTGGCAATCTATTTCCAAAAATCAGCCAATAAAAGCTCTGTGGGGATAATAACGGCCTGATCCACAACTGATCATGGAGATGGCGCAGGACCAGGCAGCACTGGTTACCTTGTGCATGGGGTCACCAGGAGTCGACAGCCGCCAACAACAATATCCTCTGACCGCAATTCCACTCCCCAGTATGTAACCAAGAAAAATGAGTGCATATGGGCACAAAAAGACTTGGCTAGTAATGTTCACTGAAGAAGCCTTATTCATAATGCCCCAAACCAGAAGCAACCCAAATGTCCATCAAGAAGTTGGTGGATACCTTACAACATGGATTAACTTGGAGGATATTATTCTGAATAAAATATGTCAACTGCAGAAAGACAAATACTGTATGAGTCCACTATTATAAAAAGTCAAGGAAAGATTTACACATGGGAGGAAACTTTCTTTGTTGATTATCAGGGATGGAAGGGGAAGGGAGGGAATTAATGTAGTGCCTAAGGCTAACTAGAAGGTTGGTGGGTCAAAATTATCAGCCACTCCATGGAAGGAGGACTGGGCAATCTACTTCTGTAAAGATTTACTATCTCAGAAACCTAAAGGGGGTCACTATGAGTCAGAATTGGCTCAATGGCAGTGAATTTGGTTTTGGGTTTCTTTTTTAGGTAAGAAACTCATAATGATTTAGGTAAAGGGAAAGGCAATCTACCAAAAGCAAGTGACCCACACAATATCACCAAGGAAAAGGAAGACACAGAGAGGTGCTCAAGAAGTACAAAAACACACAGGGAAAAGGTAACCACTGGGAGGAAGTGGGAAGAGAGCTGTTACATCGTGGGGATTATAATCAATGGCATGAAACAAAACGTGTATGAACTGTTGAGTGGAAAACAAATTTGCTCTATAAACTTTCACCCAAATCATAAAAAGTTAAAAGTTAAAAAAAAAAAAAAAAGAAGAAGTTGGTGGATAAGCAAATTGTGATCTAGCCATACAAGGGAAAATACTAAAGACCTATAAAGGAACAAACTGCCATTACAAAAAACTACACAGATAATCTCAAAAACATTATGCTGCGGGGGAAACACAAACACACAGAAGAATAGCTACAATGTGATCCCCTTTATATGACTTTCTAGAGCAGAAAGCGGTAAGGGAAGCTCCAGGAAAGCAGATATTCCCTGTCTGCACAAACCACAGTCCTTAGGAAACACCTGCTGAACAAATAAAGGAGTAAAGATGCCTCCACCATCTGAGACCAGAAGAACTAGGTGGTGCCCGGCTACCACTACTGACCCTCCGAAAGTGATCACATTGGAAGGTCTTGGATAGAGTGGGAATGTACTTCTTAGAACAATCAACCATTCAAGATCAAAGGGTAGCATTTGCCCAGGGACAAAGTTCAAAAGCCAGAAAGGGTTAGGAGAGAAGGAATGGAAATGAGATGTACAGGGAGGAAGTAGATGAGCCAGGTTACACTGAGGAGATTGCAATCAATGACACAAACAAAATGTGTATAAATCGTTAATGGAAAACTTTCATCCCAATCACAATAAAAAGTTAAATAAATAAATGAGTAAAGATGGTTGTTTCTCCATGTCAAAAGAGTTTCCTTTTCAATTAGCAAGAACTCAGTTGGTCACCAGTGTATGAGGTCATGGCGCTTCTCTCTGTTTTTTAAGCAAAGAGAACACCATTACTACTCTAGATTGCCCTGCAGCCTGTACTTGAGTTCCACTGGTACTTAGAGCAGGCACAGACCCCTTGTTAGGAATTAATCTCTCACGGTTTAAAGCCACACCAGAAAAGCAATCACATCCCATTGTTTAAAATTAGAAATGGTTTTATCTGGCCTGAAGACACTAAGGCTACAGACTAGTTCTGAGAACTTTTGCCCATTTCCAAAATTCCACTGTAGCCCAAAAATAACTGTTATCCACTACTGAGAAATTCTTTCATTCCCCAAATTAGCACAAAAGATCCACAAAGCAAAATGGCTGTTCTCCAAGGCATTCATGAGGCATAATAACAGAGTTCTTACCCTATCTCTCACTGCACAGGGTGGTTTAGATGACCTAAGAAAGTAAGATGTATACCATAAAGGGATGTGCACATTTAAAGTGATAGTATTGCTGCGCTACAGTTTATTACTTGATGTGGCCCTTCTAGCCATGGTCTTTGTGACTCTCAACAGATGACTGGGCAAATATGAGGTGCTTGTGGCCCCCCAAGGGGATTGGACAGCTTTCTAATAATGCAAATAAAATACATGGCACCTTTGTGGGGGTGGGACCATTCATATAAGGTGTATGGAACTCTAATGTGGGGATTGGTCAGTTCTGCTATCTGCTAGGCTCCAGGAGGTGGAGAGGGGAGTCTCACTACCAACAGGAAAGAGGAGCCAGGAGTAGAGCATGTCCTGTGGACCCAAGGTCCCTGCACTCAAGATCCTGACACTGAACCTCCTCAACCCAGGAGACAGACAGAGCTGTAACACTTTGCTGAGATGATGAGACAACGAGGAGCAGCAGCAGAGAAACCACAGCAGCAGAAGCAGAAACAAGAGGTCGGCATGAGACTGAGCAGCGGGCTTCCGGACCCCCGGAGTGAGAAAGCTGTGGGCAAGAGACTTGCTGGCAGAGTGGGGTGCCTCTCCGAGCACCTATCAGCAGAGCTAAAAGTGCCTTGTAACAGGTGCCTGAGCAGGGTAGAGGCCAAGGGGCCACACAGCTGAGAGGTCAAGGCCAGAGAAAAGCAGGCTAGCTGAGAAGCAGCTATCCTGACTCAAGAACTGTATCCTGACTTATTTCTGATCCTGAACCATAACCTGTTTTCCCTAATAAACCTCATAATCGTGAGTTTTGTCTGTGAGTAGCTAGTTCAACAAATTATTGAACCCAGCAGAGAAACAGAGAGTGCCGTGAGAGGGATGGCTGGTATCAGAATTGGTTAGAAGGTTGGGGTGTAGCAGTGTATCTGATAGAATCAGCCCTGGGCTATTTGATGTTGTTGTGGATCCTTTATCCTCCTCCTAAAGTTACAGGAAACCAGAAGCCATTGCTACACCCTTTTGGCAACTGTTTACTATTATTGTAATTATTGCTATTATTACTTATCCTTCAGATTTAAGCTACTACTGGGAATTTATATTCACAACAAACAAGAAATAAAATACCTAATGAAACTAAATGTACACGTTACGTTGAATGTAAAACAAGCTCTTAAAATAAAAAAAGAAAAAAAAAAAAAGAAAATATCTCACAAAAGAACATGAAGCTTCAAGTCCAGACTCTTGGTCTTAACTGACTCACATCATTTTCTACAACCAAATAATAACAGTTGGACTTTGCATTTCACCTGCCTCCCACGTTATTGTTATTAGGTATTGTCTAGTCGTTCCAAACCATAGCACTCCATATACAATGAAACACTGCCCCACCCTGCACCATTCTCAAAACCCTTGCTGTGTTTGAACCCACTGTTGCAGCCACTGTGTCAATCCATCTCGCTAAGAGTCTTCCTCTCTTTTGCTGACCCTCTGCTTTACCAAGTAGGATGTCCTCCAGAGTCTGGTCCTACCTGATAACATGTTCAAAGTAAGTAAGATGAAATCTTGCCATCTTTGCTTCTAAGAAGCATTCTGGCTGCACTTCTTCAAAGACAGATTTGTTTATTCTTCTGGCAGTCCACGGTATAGTCAGTATTTTTCACCAACACAATTCAAAGGCATCAATTCTCCTTCAATCCTCCTTATTCATTGTCTACCTCTCATATTCATATGAAGCAAATGAAAATACCATGGCTTGAGTCAAGGGTCCTCAAAGTGACAGCTTTGTTCTTCAACACCTTAAAGTGGTCTTTTGCAGCAAATTTGCCCAATGTAATATGTAGTTTGATGTCTTCACTGCTGCTTCCATGGGTATTGTTTGTAATCCAAATGAAATTAAATCCTTAACAACGTCAGTCTTTTCTCTGTTTATCATGATGTTGCTTACTGGTCCAGTTGTGAGGATTTTTGTTTTTTTTTTACGTTGAGATGTAATCTATACTGAGGGCTATAGTTTTTGATCTTTACCAGTAAGAGCTTCAAGTCTCCTTAGCTTTTAGCAAACAAGGTTGTGTCATCTGCACATCACAGGCTGTTAATAAGTCTCCCTCCAAACCTGATGCTGTGTACTTCTTCCTATAGTCCAACTTCTCAGATCTGCTCAGCACACAGATTGAGTAAGTGTGATAAAAGGATGTACTTGCCTCCTTTACAACACGGTAAAGTATGTGAGCAATTCAAGAACAAACCTTACACCTCAAGCAAATGCAGCTTAACACCCTCATGGCATTTGTTCATTTCTCTGCTTAAATGGGTTGTCCAAAATGACAGTTATTTGCCACAGAAAGCAAATACCACTTTTTGTCTATCATACTGGAAAAATGTTATTATTCATTGTTGGCCACCTTCACTCATGGTTGGTGAGATTTATAAAATGGCACACTTTGGAAGTACAAATTAGCAGTATCTGTCAGAGGGAATATGTATCCTTTAATCCACCAATTCCATTTCTAGAAACATATCCCCCAGTCAGATAGATGCACAGGCAAGGCCACTGCAGAAACAACACAAACAATTACATATCAAAAACTCTCACTGCCGTCGCGTCGGATCCAACTCAGAGTGACCCCTCCTTGGGTTTCCGAGGCGGTATCACTATGGAAGTAGATTGCCCAACCTTCTTTCTGAGGAATGGCTGGTGGATTTGAACGCCAGCCTTCTGGTTAGCAGTCAAATGCCTTAGGCACTATGCCACCAGAGCTCCCACGACCATACACAGGGGTTAGATAAATGAAAGACAGTGCAGGGCATGTGTGAAGCCACACAGCAAAGCACTTGGAATGGGGAAGCCTGCACTGGAATCCTATTTCCACTGCTCTTTAGTGTGTGATTTGGGGCAACAATCTGTGACTCACTGTGCTCAGTGGGGGAAACTGCAGCACCTACCTCAGCACAGAGTTGAGAAGATCAAATTAGATCATTTATATAAAGTACTTCAAACAGCACTCAGCAATGTTAACCATTACAATTATTACTGTGAACATACGTGGGCAACCATGGAACAGGAAGCGCTTGACCTCCATGTACTACCACGAAACAAAGCCCTAATTGAAAACAACCCACAAATCTAACAACAGGAGAATGGCTAAACAGACTACAGATTATTCAAAACAGGAAATACCACCCATCACTGAAGGAGCCCTAGTGGTGCAGTGGTTATGTGCTCAGCTGCCAACCAAAAGTCAGTGGTTCAAATCCACCACCTGTTCCATATGAGAAAGATGTGGCTGTATGTTTCCATTAAGAATACTGTCTTGGAAACCCTATGGGGCAATTCTACTGTCCTATAGGGTTCCTATGAGTTGGAATTGACTTGACTGTGATGAGTTCAGTTTTCAGGGAATTTACTCAGCAATGACAAAGAAGGAACTACTGATACATAAAACAATATGAATGAATCTGACAGACAGAATGATAGATGAAAGAAGGCAAGATTCCACTTATACCGAAGGTTCAAGGACAAGCAAAAGGGATCTATGGCAAGAGACATCTTACCTTAGGGGAGGAGGAATGGGAATGTACGGGAAAAGGACCCAAGAGACTCTGACAGGAGGCTGGAATGTCCTACATCTTGATCATCTGGGTTTTATCAAGATGTACACATCAGTAAAAATTATCCAGCTTGACTCTTGAGATTTATGCATTTCACTGGATATATATTGTACCTCAAAAAAAAAAAGTTAAGTGAAAGAAGAAAATTACAGAACTGTGTGCACTCTATAATTCTTTTTTCAAAAAAATACATACATATATATGTTGCTATATTCATAAAAAAAGTTTGTAAGACACACACCAAACAGTTAAAGGAAATAGGAACTTAAGACTTCCTAGGCTGTTGTTCTAAGCAAAGGAGCCTTGCAGGTGCAGTGGGTAAGCACTGGGCTGCTAACCAAAAGATTGGCAGTTCGAACCCACCAGCTGCTTCACAGGAGAAAGATGTAGCAGTCAGTTTCAGTGAAGACTGAATAGAACAAAAAACAGAACTCACCACTGTCAAGTCAGATCCGACTCATAGCGACCCCTCCTTGGGTTTCCGAGGAGGTATCTCTATGGCAGTAAATTGCCCAGTCTTTCTTCCAAAGAGTGGCTGGTGCATTTGAACCATCAGCCTTCTGGTTAGCAATCAAATGTCTTAGGTACTACACCACCAGAGCTCTTTTATCAGTAATAATTAGTAAAAATTATAGCCTTGGAAACCCTGTGAGGTGATTCTACTTTGTTCTACAGGGTCACTATGAGTCAGACTCAACTTGACAGCAACGGGTTGGGTTTGTTCTGTGAGGTCCCATATCCTCTTGGTGAAGCAGACTCCATGGGACTGGCCTAAGAAATCAACCCCACCATTTTTTGGCTCTTTTCTCACTGGCAAGGGCCACTAGCAAGTGGGTGCCATACTGTCCCCCTGTAAATGTTGGACCACACAGTAGTGGTACCATGACACACTTAGCAGCACTCATGAATATGCAAAGCACTTTTTTATGGAAGATCTTGCTTCATCCCCTAAGTACCTGTAAGCCAAATAATCAATCAGAGGCCCAATTTCACATCTATTCATTTATCTATTAACAGATTATCTCTTGAGCAGCACAATAAGTCATAAGATAAACTACAACGCTAGAAAGATGGCATGAAACAGCAGAAAAGAGAATGGGCACAGCTGATTAGTGTAATTGCTGTTAACAAACTATACTCCTATAAAAAGTTGAACTGGCAGAAGTTGTATGATAGATACATATTTGGATGTGCTATAGGAATGTCCATATATAAAAGTGCTATAGGGAACAAAGTTATGATAACTTTTTAGCCACAGACAAAAACCTTGAGAGAGTGAGTTGCTGGGCCCATGGGCTTGGCACCATGGTCGCTGGGGATATCAAGCTCAATTGGCATAACATACTACATAAAAATATTGTTCTACATCCTTCTGTGGTGAGCAGCAACTGGGGTCTTAAAAGCTTGTGAGTGACCATCTAAGATCCAACAATTTGTATCTCCTCATCTAGAGCAAAGAACAGTGAAGAAAATCAAAGACACATGGAAACAATTAGTCCAAGGAACTAGTAGACCACGGAATCTCAGCCTACATAACTGAGACCAGAAGAACCAGATGGTGCCCAGCTACCACTGCCAACCACTCAGGAAGGGATCAAAATTGGAGATCCTGGATAGAGTGGGAGAAAAATGTGGAACAAAACTCAAAATCATAAAAAATGACCAGGCTTGCTGGTCTGATAGAGACTGGTAAAACCCTGAGACTATGGCCCCTAATCACTCTTCAGGCCTGGAACTGAACTCACTCTCATGGCTTTACTTCTAGCCAAACAACAGATGGGCCTGCAAGGTGAACAATTACACCAGGTAGGTATACTCCTTAGAACAATCAACCATGGAAGATCAGAAGGGCAGCATTTGTACAGCAAGAAAGCTCAAAGGACAGGAATGCATAGGAAAGAAGGCCACAGGGAAAAGGTAACCACAGAGAAGAAATGGGAAGAAAGCTGGTGCACTGTGCGGACTGCAATCAATGTCACAAAACGAAATGTATATGAACTGTTTAATGAAAAATGAATTTGCTCTGTAAGCTTCCACCCAAATCACAATCTAAAAAAATAAATAAAATGTTGTACGATACATATATTTACAACAGCAACAAAAATAAAAAGAGCAGCTGGTGAGGCTGCTTACGTACAACCACTCATGGAGTTTAGTTCCTTGGTTTGGACGTTTAGGGTCATGGTTTCATGGGACCTCCCAGTTAACTGGCCTCATAATTGTTTAGTGCTAGTTCACTGTACGGTACCTGGATATTAAAAGCTTGTAAATGCCCATCCAAGACACAAGAATTGGTTTCTATTTATCTGGCACAACAGAAAAAGAAGGAGAGTCAGGAATAGGAAGAGGATATAAAATGGGTGGCTACCTGCCTCCATGAACAACTGCCTCCTTAGCCATGAGCCCAGAAGAACTGGATGGTGCCTGGCTACCTTTACTGAACGTTTTGATCAAAGATTCTACGGAAGTTTCCTGATCAAAATGGGGAAAATACAGAAGCAGAATTTAAAATTCTCATGGACTCTAGACTTTCTGGAGTCATGGGTGATGGACGAACCCCTGAAACTACTGCCCTGAGATAACCTTTTAACTTTAAACTAAAAATATTCCCTGAAGTCTTCTTAAAATCAAACACTAATTTAGCTTAACTAGTTAAAAAAAAAAAAAAAGGTCAGCCTTAAGCATTATGCTCTTATAAGAACTATCCATGTGGGATCAAATTGACAACAGCAACTTGAAAGATGAGACAGGAACCTTTAGGGGGCAGTGAACTTATGTTAATGGAAAAGAAGAACAGAAAAGGAGGGTGAAAATGGTTGCACAACTTGAAAAATCTAATCAATGTCACTAAATTATACAGACTGGTGAATTTATGTATGTTTTTCTGCATATATTCTCAACAAAAATAAAATTTAAAGAAAAAGAGAATGGGCTCTGGCATCATACCCCAGTCCTACCTCTCACCAGCCTTACAACCTTAGGCAAACTATTAACCTCCCTGAGCCTCAGTTTCCTCATCAACAATTATGTATGTAACAGTAAGTGCCTTGCAGGGTTGTTTGAGGGAAGAAGTTTTGTGTATGTAGATGTCTGATGCAGGCAGAGCCCTCCTTCTTGCCCCTAGGCCTGGATTAGTCCTCACTACCCACTTAGATCCAAAGTTGAATCCTTAACAATTAAACAACGATCAATACTTAGGACATCCAAAACAGACTGTTCAGAGAAGATGCCAAAATTAAACTTCCACCCATTCCCTATGAGCTCTCAAAAAAGATAAGACCAAAATCAAATTCTTGATCTCGGCTTACCTATCTGTACCAATGGTCACTCCCCAATGGCCACTCATCATGCCCACTTACCAACAACGCTGGATACTCACAGGTATCACGGAGCCCTTCAGAGTCAATGTTCACCTGCCTGGGCACCTCTGGTTTGAGAACCTCTGGCCTGAGCTCAGCTGGTCTGAGCTCTCCAGGCCCCAGCACCACTGTGGGGAGGTGTCGCCCAGTCAGCCTCGATGGATCCTGCTGCATCCGATGGATCTCCAACTCATTCAGGTTGAGGCCCATTGGTCCAAGTACATCCAGGGGTCCGACGGAAGCAGGATCCTGCTTTGGTGCTTGGCGATTTATGCTCAGGAATGAAGCCAGCACGTTCTGGCCTGTGTCCTGTAAGCAGGAGATGAACAACGGAAGGGCCTGGCTCCCTCGAGTCTCTAGATCTGTGATCAGCTGCCTGGCCTGATCCCGTCGAGATCCAGAGCCTGCTTGCTGTTTGGAAGGAAAGACATAGCACTAATTATCCAAGAAGGCAGTGGTAGGGCAGTGGTAGACATCACTCCTTCCATACAGGAAACTGGGTTCAGTTCCTGACCAATGCCCTCATATGCAATCACTACCATCAGTGGAGGCTTAAATGCTATGATGTTGAACAGGTTTCAAAGGAGCTTCCAGATTAAGATGGACTAGGAAGAAAAGACTGGCCATCTACTTCCAACAACTGCCAATGAAAATCACAAGTATCTGATCCACAACCGATTATGGGGATGGTTCAGGACCAGGAAGCATTTGTTCTGTTATGCACAGGGTCACCATTAACTCAGGGGCCTATCCAACAGCTTCTAACAGCAGCAACAATTACCCAACCATTTTCCTGATAACTCTCACCTTGTCCCTTCATTTTTCCTCTAGTATAAGTCTAAGCAAGGAGCTCTGTGGTATAGTGGGTTAGGCATTTGGCTGCTAATCAAAAGATCAGCAATTGGAACGTACCAGCTGCTCTACAGGAGAAAGATGAGGCAATCTGCTTCTATAAAGATTTACAGCCTTGGAAACCCTAGAGGGCTGTTCTACTCTGTCCTATAGGGTCGCTATGAGTCAGAATCAACTCAGTGGCAATGGAATAAGTCTAAACAATCAGGTACATGGCCAAGTATTGAGCCTACAGGTAAACTGAATCTATGCCAATTGATGATGTTTGATTAGCCATTTATTCACCAGTACTTTGGAGACATCTACTATGTGTCCCTAGGAGGTTTGGTGATGTAGTGGTTAAGGTATGTGGCTGCTAACCAAAAGGCTGGTGGTTTAACCCACCAGCTGCTCTATGGAAAAAAGATGAGGCAGTCTGCTTCCATAAAGATTTATAGACTTAGAAACCCAATGGGGGTCACTATGAGTTGGAATCAACTCAATGACAGTGAGTTTGGTTTGATTTTTCTACTATGTGCCAGTACTGTGCTAAGTGTTGACAATACAGCAGTGACCGGTCTTGGTCCTTGAGGACAAACATCCAGTGGAGGAATGCAAACAGAGAGGCCATCCAACCCAAACTTAGAGGGTCAGAAAGGCCTCCAAGATGGGATACCTTAGCTGAAACCCCTGGGACCATTAGGGTAGGAATAGTTAATTTAGAGAAACACAAGTAGGACAGTGGTGAGAGATAAGGCCTGCACACGGTCATGGCAAGAAATTCATCCTGAAAGCTATGAGGAACCACCGAAGAGCTTTAATAAAGAGTTGGAGGAGCTCTGGTGTCATAGTGCCTAAAGCATTTGACTGCTAACCAGAAGGCTGGCGGTTCAAACCCACCAGCCACTCCTCAGAAAGAAGATTGGGCAATCTACTTCTGTAGTGATACCGCCTTGGAAACTCAAGGAGGGGTCGCTATGAATAGGATCCGACTCCACGGCAGTGAGTTTGGTTTTTAGTTTTGACGGAGTCGGATCTGTCTTTTAGATAAATCATCATGGGGCAGGGTGGGCAGTGGAAGGCAATAAGCCACAACCAGTTAGGATGAGGCAAAGATAGTGCAGCTGCAATGGAGAAAAATGAGAGGACAGATCAGAGAAAGGAGGAGAGAGAATCAACAGAACATGAACATTGACTGGGTAGACTGTGAAGATGAAGAATTGTGAAAGTCAGCTGATAGGCGTCAGGATTGGGGTGGGGAGTGGCACTAAAACTGGGAGCAGGATAGGAACAGGGAGAAGATGCTGGTTATCTACTGGTTATCTCGCCTATTGTTTGAGACCCAGCACTGGGCAATTCCTCAGGATACAGGGAAGAAGACATCAGCGCACCCTAAAATAACCTATAGCAGCACTGGAGAACTTTCCATGATGATGAAAATGTTTTTTATCTTCACTGTCCAATATGGTAGCCATTAGCCACATATGGTTACTGAGCACTTGAAATGTGACACTTGACTACTTTCTCCTGCTGATGACTTCCTTCCTTGGGTCAGGCGACTCCTGGATGAGTCAGACACTGGAGATTCAACCTGCAAGAAGTCCTCAGCACACTGGAACAGTCTGGTCAGGGGTCAAAAGCCAGGGTCCACCAGCAAACCACTCACAACCTCTGTACCTCATGGTGGGAAACACCTCCTACGCCCTCCCACCTCACAGTAAAGGTAATAGATGTGGAAGCGCTTTTAAAGAAAACCTCAAATGTTTATTATGCTAACTCCCATTACCCGCATCATTTTCTCTAATATCTTACAACACAAAGATGTAAGAGGGTCTGCCCAAACAGCACAGGGCACCTGTGGAGCCCTTATTCTGTAAGCCATTATCTCATTGAATGCTCAATACTACTGTGCATTTCACAGCTGAGAAAATTGAGGCTCAAAGAGGTCAAGTCCTAGGACACTGCCAGGCAGACTGATGCCAAAGTTGGTGTCCTGACCATCCATGCCTCCTTTCTTGCAAGTACAAGCACCACAGCAGCTGATGGTGCAGGGTGTGAATCGCTTTAACGAATATTCAAAGAGGCGTCTGGGGTTGTTGGGTTCTGGTGGGCTCCATGGCGTTAGGGAAAATAATGTTCCCACAGAGTGGTCTCTCAGAGGGTGGATACTAGGTGCCACAGAGGGGGGAGGGGGGGGGCGGGAACGTGGGTCCTTATCCTAGCTCGGGCACTAAGTGTCATGGAAGTCTGCCACGGCGCGGGAAGTGGGGGGAGGACACAGTGGAGGGGGAGAGCTGGCGGGGTGAGGGCGCACCTGGATGTCCTCGATCATGTCGGGCGTGAAGAGCCCCCGTTTGAGCAGCGCATCCCAGAGGTCGGCCACCTGCAGCTCCCGTACCAGTCGCAGGCGGCACCGCCGCAGCAACTCCCGATCCTTCTCGTCCATGGCGGTCAGGAACCTGAGCTGCTTACGTCCGCTTCCGGGCCTAGCCTCCGCACTCCGCCCTGCCTCAGGACACGCCCCGAATTGCGCCTCGCCTACAGGACTTGTCCTCGCGCCACAGCCCTGCCCTTACACCATTGTCCAGCCCCCACCTTGCCCCTGCCTCCACCACCACCGCCTCCACGCCCCCAGGACCCCCTCCCGCATCACCCTGCACTCCAGACTCCGCCCCAAGGCCCGCCCTTAGGGCACCGCCTCCAGGTACCGCCCAGCCCCAGGATTCGCAAGTGCCCTGCCTGGTTCCCGTCCCACCTCCGAGACCACTCCGCCCCTCCACCTCTCTCGCGTCATCGCCCCGCCTAGGATCCACCTTTCCTCCCCTCATTCCCCACCCCCATCCACCTCCAGCCCAGACCCGCCTATGGACCCTGCCCGCCTCCAGGGCCCGCCTCCAGGGCCCGCCTCCAGGGCCCGCCTCCAGGGCCCGCCTCCAGGGCCCGCGGCCCGCCCTTGCTGCACTTCTGCTTCTGCGTCGCTACCTTGCTTCCCGAGGGCAGATGCTACTCAGCGATTGTGGCGCTCCTTCCTGGGACGTCTTAGACCCCTTACTTCACCACGATCCTACTTTCACACAGATTGAGGGTTGAGGGACACACTGCTAGTAGGAAAGACAGCCATGCCTGGAACCAGGGTCTGTCCCACTCTATTCAACCCCCTTCCAGGTCTAAATCTACACTAGCCCTCTCTCCAGCATCCAATTAAAACCACTGTTGTTGTTGTTGTTGTTATGTGCCGTAGAGTCGGACCGACTCATAGCGACTCCTTCTTGGGTTTCCGAGGCAGTATCTCCAGGGTTCCTTTCCTTCTGAAAACCACTAGTCTCTCCTTATTCCAGGCGCAGATCTCGCCAGTTTAGCCCGTGTTTATCGTTCCAAACACGGGTGTTCCCACCAAAGCCCACCTTATAGCCTCCTCCTTACACTTCCCTCCCTCCACCCTGTTGTTAGGTGCTGTGGAGTGGGGTCCGACTCATAGCCACCCTATGCACAGCAGGATGAAACAATAACTGGTCCTGCTCCATCTGCACAGTCCTTGCTATGCTTGAGCCCACCATTGATGCCACCCTAGCACCTTCTCACCCTAGCCCCTTTCAAAAAGAAAAAAAATGCAGAACTCTAGTTCCCCACGGTTAGTGTGGCTTATTTCCACATTTCAAAAATGTTGTTAGGTGTTGTGGAGTAGGTTCCAACTCATATCAACCCCATATACAAGAAGAATTAAACACTGCCCTGTTCTGTGCAGTCCTGGCAATCATTGCTATGCTTGAGCCCATCTTTGCAGCCTCTGTGTCAATCCATCTAATTGAAGGTCATCCCCTTTTTCACTGACTCTACTTTACCAAGCATGATACCCTCTAGGGACTGGCCCCTTCTGACAGTTTGACCAAAATACATGAGACAAAGTCTGGCTTCTAAGGATTTTCACTTCTAAGGAGCATTCAAGCTATACTTCTTCCAAGATAGATTTGTTTCTTCTTCTGGTATTTTCAAAACTAGTTGCTTCTATTTATTGAGCATTTGCCAAGCCCCAGTACTGGGCTGGCCACTTTACATGCATCATACCAGTTGTCCCTCACTACAGTCCTGCCAGGAAAGTATTCTTTTCCTCATTTACAGATGTGTACACTAGCCTTAGAGAAATGAAGTCACCATTCAAAGGCATAGGCAGGATTCAAATCCAAACCTGATTCCAAAGCCCACACTCAACCAGGAGTCTACTTTAGGATGTGATCTTATAAACAGCAAAACTTCAGCCCCATTCATTTATTTATTCAACAAATATTTATGGAGGGCCTGTAT